CCCTGGAAGCCTGACCTTTCATTTTGACAGACGGGGAAACTGAGCGAAGGTCACACTGCGAGAAGCTCCCTCCACCACGGCCCCCGTGAACCTCCCACTTGGGGCTACGTGGCCATCGGAGGCCAAGTTCCTAGATACTCTTCCTGGGGGCCAGACGCATCACCCCTCTCCCCGTCCCGACCAGGATAGGGACCCGGGGCAGAAAATGAACGTGATCTCCAGACATGGGTGCTTCCCCAGCCCAGAAAACGTGCCGACTGGGGAAACCTGCCCACAACCTACAAATCCTCCAAAGACAGTCACAGAGAGCTAACCTCCCAAGAGTAGGATCCCGAGAGATCTAAGCAGAGAAGGGGCCAGAAAGCTCTGAGGACTCTGGACTTCGCCAAAGACGGCCACCCTGCGGCCCTGCCCCTGCTTCCAGGGAGGGCTGAGCTTTGGAAACCTTCTGCCTCAACCTCCTCTTTCGCAGTTGCCTCCAATCACCTCCAGGTTTAGGACAAGACGCGTCTGGAGAGCTCACTCCTCTGAGCAGATGGCTTCCAACGCACCAAGAAAAGCACAGCCCTCCCCTCGGAGGAGGCGGTGGGAGCTTGAGGAAGGCCCAAAGCCCAGTCACTGCCCAGCTGCCGCCAGGGAGAGAGGGTGCCGGGGTCGGCCCAGCCGGGCAGCCCCCGCCCCCCGCCCACCCCGGCATCTTCCGGAAGGCTCCCCGCCTCCAGTCACCTTGCCTGGGTGTCCCACGAGCCCACACCGGGCTGGGGAGGAGGGCTGCCAGGCCCTCCCTGAAGAGCACGGAGCCGTGTGGGCGCCGAGAGCCGGGGAACAGGGGAAACAGACGTGCGTGCCGGCCCCGACAGGCAAGTGATGACAGGCGCTCTCTGCGGGCCTCAGATGTCAGCCTGGAGACAAGAAAGGGGCCGCGGCAGCAACACCTGTTTTGGGTGCGGAGGCCACGCTCCGGGGGCCGGGCCGGGTGTCCCCTCCGTGAGGGGCCAGGGTGCGGTTAGGTAAGCAGCTGCACGCTCCAGTCCCCGGAACGCTCCCCGGACAGACCGCGGGAAGAGGGCAGGGCGGCCCGCCCGCCAACTGGCTTGCAAAGGAGGCCGAGGGATCCCGCGGCGGACCGTTGGGGACGCGGACAGGCTTGTCCCACCAGCAGCGGGAGGTCCCAGCTGCAATCTGAACACCAGAGCAGGGCTGGGAGAGCAAAACCCAAGGGTGCCACTAGTCAGCAGGGCACAGAACGGGGAGTACAGGACGTCCGGGCCGGCCAGCAGGGGACCTTCAGGACCTCAGGACCGTGCAAGCTGACCTCCTGCCTCTCCGCTGCTCTGGGGGAGGGGGTGGGGCCCGTGCAGGGGAAATTAGGACCACGTCCCTCCAGGGCACTGCCACCTTCACAGCTGGAGCCCCGGGGTGTAGAGAGCCTAGAGGCTGGAGCACAGACACCAGAGCGGGCCTCCTGGGTCCAGTGCTGGTCCCGCGGTTACCAACTGAGCGACCTTGGGCCAGTCACTTGACCTCTCTGGAGTCGTCATTTCTGGTATGAAACGGAGGCAGCAGCACCTGCCTCAACAGCGCTGTGGTGAGGGCTCAGTAAGAGTGAACACGGGGGAAGCATGTGGCACGGTCTGGAACGCGGAGAACATTCTAGAAAGGCATGATCATCCCTATTACGTCCCCAGCTGCCATCTCGGGCAGCCTGGCCAGCTGTGCCCCCTAGCTCCAGAGGAAGGGACGGCCGACCCCTTATCCCCCGCAGAAAGGCTGGGGGGCAGAGGCCGCGACATGGCGGCATGCGGGGGCCGCCCAGAGACCTAACCCCGGGTCGCCAGCACCTCAGGGACAGAGAAGGGAACGAGCGTGTCCCGCGTTCCCACCGGGCACCGGCCACTCTCAGACCCCAGACCTTCCAGAGGAAGGATCACCTCGGCGTCCCAAGCGCAGTCCTGTGCACGCGGCCGGCTCAGAGGTCTGGTGGTTTACACGGCACGGTGCCCTCCAGGAGGCGTGCGCTCGGCTGGACCGAAAAGCCGCAAACGCGATCCCGACAGAGGGTGTCGGTGACTTCTTTCCTTTCCTTTCTCTTCCTCTCTCTCTTTCCCGTCCCCTCTCTTTCTCCATGTTCTTACACACTATTTAAAGCTGATTCACCAATGAATGAACGTTGAGCAGGAAACAACGGAGGCATCGCGGGAGACGGTATAGACGAGGTTCCGGAACATGCCGTTCCGGCTCAGTGGTTTCCCTGTGGCTACCTTCCAATGCCCCTGGCCACTCCCACCCAAGTTCTCAAACCATACGGCGGAGACAGACAGGGCTCGGGGGCCGGCAGGAGCGAACCCTGCCAGCCCCCGCCGGGAGCCCCGGGTCTGTTTCCAGCCGCACTGTGTTGAGGCCTCATGCCCACCGTGGCGCCTCTGGAGAGCCCCGGCCCCGCTTTGTTTACGGCTCCGCGGGAAGTGGTATTCTGTGCCGGGCTCCGCGCCCCTCCCCCCGACACTGAAGGCGCTGCACTTGCCTCCAGATCCCCAGCGTCTGGAACAGTGCCTGGCTCAGAGTAGGCGCTCCATAAACATTTGTTAAATGAATGGCAGGGAGGGAGGAAGGAAGGGCAGGAGGCTGAGTTTCCGGCATTCTACCCTCTCACAGGCGGGAGCCGATGCTCCCCCGTCCTCCCTCTGACTACTGGAGCTGCACGGCTGCCCTCCCCATCCCGCCTCCCCCCCCCCCCCCCCCCCCCACCGCCAAGGCTGATGGCCTCGCCACCCACCTGGACGGCTGCCACAGCCCAGCCCTGGGTGGATCTCTTCCCGGCGCGTTCCAAGCCTTCTTTCAAGGACTTTTTCTCTCTCCCCTGTGCCTCCAACTCCAAAACTGCCTCCTGTGCCTGACTCCGGGGCCTTCCGTGCACACCAGCCTCGTCCCCCCCGCCGTCATCCCCACTAAGCACCTCTGGTCGCCCCTTGCCTCCGCGCCTCCTCACCCTTGACCCCTCCCTCTCCACCGCACCCCGCCCGAGGACGGAGTGGGGCTCGGGGCTGGGAAGACGCAGGTTGAAGACCCACTTCAGCCACCTCTACTGGTTGTGGGACGGTCACCGATGCCACCTGACTTCTCTGACTTCTCGTCTGCCAAATGGGGGCAATAAGGCCTCCCAGGAGCAGACGCTTTGGAAATGGCGCCAAACCGAGCAAGCCAGCCAGCCTTCCCCAACTCACGCTGACCCCTTCCGGGCAGACTCCGGCTTGCGTTTTCATCCTCACGAGGCTCCCCTCCACCCCAACCTTCCCAGCTGGACTGTTTCCTCAAGTTCCTGCCCGCGAGGCCCACGCTTGGCAGCTCATCAACTCCCGATGAGTGAGCAAATCAACAACGGAAAAACTCGCCACGGCGTGGACGCTGTGCAGAGAGCACTCGGAAACCTCAGAGAGGGCGCTGTGGCCAGCACGCGGCACTGCCACGGAGCCCGAGACCCACGGCCACCCCGCGAAGCGACAGCCTCACAGAGGAACTGGCCTGCCTCCTAGAACAGTCTGCCCGACGCACCAGGTGGATGGGAGGGTCCCACTGGGCGCCAAGGGCTTGACCTTCCGGGGGCATCCGAATGCGCACGGCGGTCGCACGCTGGCCCTCCGCGGCAGGTGCTCCGAACCTCCGCTCCGCACCAGGGGGACAAGCACAGACACGTGCTCTCACGTGCTCAGCTCCCAGGAGATGGGGCAGGATGCTTGGGGACGGCGCTGGTGGTGCAACACATGTTTACGGAGCGCCTACTCTGAGCCAGGCACTCACTGTTCCAGACTCTGGGGATCTGGTAGCAAGCGCAGAAGCCGGGCTCACCTCCCAAGCCCTGGCCCTTCCGGAAACCGCTTTAGATTCCCAGCAGCAGATCCACAGGCTGGACCGCCGCGTGCTGCTAACGAGGAGTCCGCACCCACAGCGGGGAGCGATGTGTGCCCCCGTTTAGAACGAGAGGCCCAACAAAGCCCCCAGCGACACCTCCACGGCCCGAAGGGGACGCGTGCAGAGAAGGTAGCCTGGGCAGAGGGCGACGGCACAGAGCAAGCACCGGTCGCGGGCCCCACGCCCGCGATGTGGTACCATGACAGACATCCGATCAAACAGGCCGGTCTCACGGTCTCTGGTGGGGATTAGGGTTCAGGGCCCCCTCGGCCACGACGCTGATCCCAACTCACAAACACCTACTCCCCCAGACCCGCTGGGGGCAGGTCCTGCCTCGCCCTCTGCAGAGGCAGATCCAAAATTAACTGAGCCCCGTCTGGCTCCTCCGGGGCAGGCAGCGTGAAGGCAGGCGCCTTATAAACAGGGCGCCAACACCCCCCCCCCACCTCCTTCTGCACAGCTGATTTGCAGAGAAGAAAGACTCTCTTCCCGCCGTGGAGGAGAGTGGCGGGGGGGGGGAGTCTGCTCAGGCCACTGTCCCCCAGGGTCCCAAACCCCCACGTCTGAAAATCTGGTTCCATCTGCTGTTAAGCAACCAGAGGGTCTCAAAGGACAAGTATGAACTTGGGTGTGGAAAGCTGCAGAAGCTACACAGTGCGAGCGCCGGAGCGGAGGGGACCGTCCACGTCTGCTGCGTTTCCAAAGGGGTTCGGTGCAGAGACCTCACGGTGACCCGCGTGGCCGCACTAATTACCAACGTCATCAGGCGGATGACAGACGCGCCCCGAGCTTCCTCCGTGTGACAGACTCCGCTCGCTGCAAACACCCTCAAGTTCGGGCCCGTGCCTGCCCTTTTCCGCAGTGCCCTGTTCTGCCACAAGACCGGTCCCCCCCCCAACTCCACTCGCCTGCCAGCTCGGCCAGGCCGGCGCTGTCCCCCAAGCACCAGCCCGGCGGCCCCAGGAGGGCACCTCCTACTGGAACGTGGCACACAGAACCCGTACAAGCGCCTCCCCGGCAGAGGCACAGAGAACAACACGTCTTCCTTCCCCGCTCGGATCGCAGAGGCCGAAGAGAAAACCGCCGCTTACCTTCATCGCCAGTGCCGCCGGGGAGCTCCAACCGAGGGGCCCCTGGCGGGCCAGCCCTTGGCCGGCGCACACCAGGGTCCCGCACTCCGCGCAGGCGCCGATGATCAGCTGCCGCCCGTCGTCCACCAGCAGGCTGTGACTCGCTCGCAGGGTGTAGAGGAACAGCGGCAGCCGGGCGACCCGCACGGCCCTCAGCCCGAGACACCGCTCCTTCTCCTGCTGGCAAAAGAAGCACACGAACGTCTCCACCCGGTACTGCCGAGACCAGGCGCTGACGGTGTGCTGGGCGCCGCGGGCCTCATGCTGCAGCCACTGGCCCAGCAGGTCGTGGTAGCACAGCACGCAGGCGGCCACCAGGCCGGTGGAGTCCGCGGGCCTGGCGCGTGGGGCGGGCGGGTAGACGGTGAGGAACGGGAAGAAGGGCTCCTTTTCGCCCAGGCGGCCCGAGGGGTTCACGTTGAGCTGGAACTCCTTCCCGGGGCCCAGCTCGGCCCCGCAGACGTAGCAGACGGAGGCCGGGCCGCCCGGGGCCGACGCGGGCGGCTCGGAGAGGGCGGGGTCCGAGGCAGAGAAGGCCTGGTGGTACCTGCCCAGGAAGCCCTGCACGGAGGTGATAAGTTCGTCGTTGTGGCAGGCCCGGTACAGGGCCCACACGTCCTCCAGGACGCTGAAGCACTTGGGACAGCTCCGGACCTCGCAGCGCTTGTTGGGGCCCCGGGCGTTGGGGGGGCGGGGCAGGAGGCTGAGGAAGGGGAAATGCATGGAGCCCCTGGGGGTGCCGTTCAGGATCCTGGAGGCCACGGCCCGGGCGTCCTGGGTGCAATCCTCCCCGCAGAGATAGCAGGCCTCCGGCAGGGCCCCGGCGGGCGGGCCCTCCTCCCTGGGGAGCCGGCGGCCCTTGGAGGCCATGCCCGGGGCATGGCTGTTCAGGGGCACCACGTACAGTCGCTGCAGGACGGGCACGCTGGCCAGCTCGAAGCTTTGCCACTGCTGCATGAGCGAGGAGAAGCAGCAGGGGCACACCAGGGTGCTGCCGCCCTCGCTGATGGGCTGTGCCCCCGGAGGGGGGCTGTGCAGCCACAGGAAGGGGAAGAAAGGCGCCTGAGCCAACTTTTCCTGCTTCTGCACGTGGATCTGGTGCCGCGAGGCCGGGGCCAGCGGCGACCCGCAGATGTAGCAGCAGAGGCCCTCTGCTGGCGCGGCCCGGCTCTCCGGGGAAGCCCAGGGGCCGGCGCCTCCGTTCTCCTGGTCTTTGGCGCCGGGCAGGGGCTCCTCCTCGCTGGTGATGTTGATGTCACTGTCCTCGGACATGCAGTAGCTCCCGCGGGTCTCCCCCGGCGGCCTGCTCTCCGGAGGAGTCCTGGCGGCCGTGCCCGGAGGCACTCCTTTGGCGCCGTCCGCGGGGGCCGCCTGGACCGGGGGGCCTTGCCAAGGGTCCGGAACGCCCCTCAGGACGCTGGCCCGGGCCTCGGGGACCCAGTGCCTCCCGGCCGTCTTCC